ACAGCGTTATTGCATAAAATTTTGTTTTAATCTTGGTGATTCGCAAGTGGAAACAATTCGCAAGATTAAACAAGTGTTTGGAAATGAAGCGATGGGCACCACACAGATAAAGGAGTGGTACAACCGCTTCAAAGATGGCCGCTTATCAGTTGAAAGTGAACCACGCTCAGGGAGGCCCTCAACATCGAAAAATGATGCCATCATTGATCAAGTGAGGAACCTGGTGATGCAGAACCGCCGAATCACGATCAGAGAGCTTGTAGACGAGGTGAGTATTAGTTTTGGTTCCATTCAATCAATTTTGACTGACGACTTGGGCCTCAGGAGAGTCTCAGCAAAGTTTGTACCAAAGCTGCTAACATTTGAGCAAAAAAACCTTCGTCTGGAGATCGCACAAGACATGCTGGAAACTGTGAACGGTGATCCCGACTTTATGAACACAGTGATTACAGGTGACGAGTCATGGGTTTATGGATATGACCCAGAAACCAAGCGCCAGTCAACACAGTGGAAGCATCCTTCATCCCCGAGGCCCAAAAAAGCAAGGCAAGTTCGCAGCAATGTCAAGGTCATGCTAACTGCCCTTTTTTACTACAGTGGCTTAGTACATCACGAGTACGCACCACACGGTACTACAATCACCAAGGAGTACTACCAAGAGGTTCTGTGTCGCCTTCGTGACACAGTGAGGCGCAAGCGCCCGGATCTGTGGGCAACAGGCAGTTGGAAGCTCCATCATGATAACGCTTCCGCACATTCTTCCCATTTAATTCAGAACTTCTTGACAAAACACAGCACACCAGTGGTTCGTCAACCTCCCTACTCTCCTGACATGGCTCCCTGCGATTTTTAGCTTTTCCCAAAGCTGAAAATGCCACTAAAAGGGACCAGATTTCAGACCAGAGAAGACATTATGCAGAATGCGACAGACCATCTGAGAGCCATACCGAAGGAGGACTACCAGAGATGCTTTCTACAGTGGCAGAAGCGTTGGGAGAAGTGTGTGGCAGCCCAAGGGGACTACTTTGAAGGGGATTTGTATTAAATAATTATATCACAATAAACGTTTATTTTATGAACAAAAGTCGGATACTTTTTGATCAGACCTCGTATATATAAATAAATACGAGAATTGTTTTTCAAGTAAGGGCCGTTTTGTTGTGTACAATAGTAGGTGACATGTGAGTCGAAACGAGGGCTTGTGCCGTGTCCCGGCATCCCTTAGAAACAATTATGCTCAGTTGCAGCTGTGTAGGTAAACAGTACAGTCAGTTCTTCTGTCTTTAAAATGTTCAAATTTAACAAATCTACCACCACGCAGGTCAGTGACCAGGGATGAGATTAACCAAAACGCAAAAAAGCTGAATTTCCACGATAGTAAATTTTACGCAAGCGCAACCCTTTAATAATAAATTCCAGACAGTTTAAGGTAATAAATAATGTGTTGACATACAATTGTGTACTAATCTATTATTATAAAAACGATTACATTGATGCTTAACATTTAGTGGGAAAAAATTACCAATTGAAAAAATAAAGCTGGAAATTATATTTTTCTTCAGTTCACATAAGAGACAATTACTACTTGAAAAACTACCTGGCTTAGCAAATTAAAACTACTGAGAATATTCATTAATATTTCATTTCTTTTAATAAATACTGTTATGGGATTTATAGCAAATATATCAGTAATATTACTTTTTTAAATTATATTGGAGAAAAAAAACTTTAACAATGGACCGAATCATTATGTTCATATTATAGTCTCATCTAACTACAGCCCTCTGAAACATATCAATAACAGTGAAGTAGAAATATATAGTAACTCCTTAACATATAAAAATTGCTATTTTAGTTTAAAAAATTACATGATAATCAGCAATTGTTTAGATAATTGTTTTTTATTTGATAAGAATTTTGCATTTTATAGCATAAATAACAGCAATTAAAAATAAAATTTTGATGATGAGTTAACAGTTAAAAATAAAATTTTGATGATGAGTTAACTAACTCTTTTCCCCCCCCCAAATTTTTTTTTAATTAAATCCCTTTTTAAGTGATTGTTTTTGTTTGCATTATCTTTTATGTTTGCTATATTTAGTCATTAGTCCATCTTCAAACATCTTGTGACAAATCCTATTTTTTTTCTTCTTTGCAAGCACAGAATGTAAGTTTGGAATATATTCCCTTCCAGTTTCTCTGATGTTTTAACACTTACATATACTAATAATCGCCGTTAGAAAAACAGTCACCTTTATAGTAACTAATTTAAAAAAAAGTTACGTCTTACAAGAATCGTGATAGTTGATCTTAAAATTGCGTGAATATGAATAACAATTATGGATTTTGAAATCACATGAATATGAAACTAGATATACGATTTTGAAAATGAGAAAATACAAACTGGGATATAGAATTTTTAAAACGCGTAAATACAAATCACGATTCATAATTTTTAGATCGCGTAAATACGAATCATGATGCGTAATTTTTAGATTGCATAAATAAGAATTATGATGCATAATTTTTAGAATGCGTGAATGCGAATCCCAATGCCTTATTTTAAAATCACGTATAAATACGAAAATCAATGTTTGATATTATAAACCGCATGAGCAAATCAACACATTGAATTTTAAACTTGCGTGAATACGAATCGCTACATAGGTTTTTAAAAAGGCGTAAATACGAATCACAATATCGGATTTTTAAATCTCGTAAATAAGAATCGCAACGTACAATATTCAAATCGCGTGAATAAGAATCGCAACACGCAAATATGAAAAGCTATGTTTGATATTAAAATCGTGTGAATAAGAATCGAGATATTAGCAGATTCCAGGCTTGGGACCTCTAAAAGGCTTGTCAGAAGCAGCGTCGTTTGAACTACGAAAATCGGATCTATCTGGAGGGCAGGTAAAAAATTCAGAAAATCTTATCTGCTGCGTGTAAAAGGGGAGAAAATAGGTAAAATAAGTAAAAATGAGAAAGGATTGGTAGCTATGTAGCTTGAATTTTCTGTTTCTCTTTGAAAATCAGTAAATTTTCTGAAAAAGCGGAATACTTAAAAAAAAAATGAAATTTTTAGAACATCTGAATTTTTGATAAAAAAGCTGAAATTTAAGAGATAAAAGTGAAAAAAGCGGAAATCCGCTAAAAAGCGGAAAAATCTCATCCCTGCAGTGACGCGTTTTTAGTCTACAAAAAAAAAAAAAACAGTCTGTGGCATACACTCACTGACAGATTAGTGAAATTATGATTTGTGAAGCATCAAAATTCCTTGCCATGTTGACAGGGAATTTCGCTACTCTATGACAACGACACTCTCCGCAGCTCAAATTCCAGCTTTATTGGACTCTTTTGGTTGAGAAGTTTTGGACCACTCCTCCCTACAGTCCAGACCTTGCGCTGAGAGATTTTCATCTTTCCAATAATTCAAACATCATTTTGGTGGCAACCAGTACAATGATTATAAATAAGTGAAAACAGCCATTATTTCTTAGTTAACGGAGCAGGTGGCAAGTTAGCATGAAGAGGATATTCTAAATCTAGTTGTAAGGTATGATAAGTGTTTAAACAAATTCGGCAACTAAGCTTAAAAAAGAGAAACGTATGTAGAATCTGAAAATAAATTATCTTCCGGAAATTTCTTTTTTGTTAGTTTGGTTGGTTTTGCTTGCTTTCAAACGGCCCTTATTTATACTGTATAAATATTTAATTTTCAATGGCAAAGAATGAACAGCATTGAATATCCCAAAAGGATTAAAAATAAAGTAATTTTGACATGTGTCCCCTACTTTTCCAATATCAGCGACAAATATCCCACAAAGAGCACTTTAATTGATGTGACAGTCATATAAAGAATACATATAATTTAAGAAAATATCACTTTAGGATTAATTCTATTTAAATTTATGAGTGTAGAATTTTAAATCAATTACTGGTATGCTTTTTCAACATTGGCAACAAAATGGCACAGTTTTATTTTAACAATCCTCTTTAAAAAAAGTTCTCAGAAATAATCCCTTTTCATTGATTTTTTTTTTTTTTTTAGTTAAATAAATTTGTTTGAAGTACAATAAAATAATAAATTTTAATGCCAGAATTTTTTTATTAATAATTATTTACTACAATAGGCAAATGACAAATATTGGTAAAATTATGAGTTCTTTCCACATGTATTAATATTTAAAATTATGAACTCTGCCACTGTGAAATAAATACCACTTAGGTGAAAAAGAGAACCAACGATCTATCTTAACAGCTTTATTATAAAAAAAGAATTTTCTTCTTTAAAAACGTGAAGAATAAACATACAGGATAAAAAAGAAAAAGAAAATTCAAAATTATTTTTCTAAAAAATGCTTCAGTGTTGTAAAAATAAAATAGAAAGTCTGAACAAAATTGGTGATGATTGATAAAATACAAACTCAGGGTTTATACTCTATTTATAGGTTTAAAAAAAATTCACTTCGTTTTCTCTCAAAATACAAAGAAACAATCCAAAAAATAATGTGCAGCTATGCAATAAATCACTTCAAAATACATAATAATTTTTAAGGCAAAAAACACCAATGAAATTTCTAAAGCATGCACAATTATCAATACCAAATCATTATCCTTCCTACGTATTTTATAGCTACTAGTTGCATTACACGATATTATGATCTACCCACATTACTGTACATACTCTTGTGTCTCAATAAATCCAAACACTTCATAAAATTTTTAACTAAAGACTGTTAATTATAAGCAACCTTCAATCCTTGAGAAGAAAAAAAAAGTCTAGAAAAGTTTCTAAGAATGTAAGTTTGTTACATAAAAACTTTTTCAAAAAGCAAATGTCCAAAAATTAAAATTTTTTCCATGTTCTTAACTTCTTTTGCTAGATTTATAACAAAACTTTTCCTTTGTGCACATGAATCTTAATACTAGATGTTAAGCATAAAATGCTCAAGTATATCAATTACAACATGTTTTTGTGTGTCTACTCTAAAATAAGTTATGAATAATTGTGATTTAAAACATAAATGTTATAAATACCCATCATTAAAGGTGCAGACTTCTTCAATGAGATATCCTCGTTCAGAACGTGTAGCATGAGTCACACATTTCTCCACAACATTGCTATAATGAAAACATGCAAGCATTATTAAAAGACATCAAATTAAATTTTGCAAAGAAAAAAATACTAAAATTACCAGCAGAAATGGCATTTTGGTCTATTACAAAGGATAAATTCAATCTCACACAAAAAACGATTCTTATGTTATTAGTTAGAAATCAAAATTGGAAAATTATAAGGGAATTCTCCACTTGATAGTGATATTGTAAACACAACTTTATAACTTAATTTTCATTTCATGGCAAACCACAATAAAAATCTATAACACAATATCACCTTTCAAATGGAAATTAATAAAATGAAAAAGCAAATTAAACAAGAGTAACATAAATTTTAAAAAGCAATTAAATCATCAGCGTGGAAAAATTTGAGGTAAAACTTGTATGAAAAGGCACATTTTATACATGTATGTATATAGATAGATATATATATATAGATAGATAGAAGCACACACATACATATGCACAGATAAAGAACACACGTTCCAAATTGAAGACTTATATCTCGGAAAAATTTGTCATTTAGCATTATTGGCAATAAGGCTAATTACCACAAAAATTACAAATATTGAATTGAAACCTTATTAATTATTTTTATTTATTTCATAAAAAGCATATGGTCCAAATTTGAGGCATCTATCTCAGTAAAAACGAATTATTTATTAAGTATAACTGTCAATAAGGCCAATTACCCATTAATTACACTAATAGTTAAAATACTGAATTGAAACTCTGTAAAGTTTAAAAATATTAAAGAATTTATAAAAGCAGACGATTGTAAAGTCTAAAAATATTAAAGAAATAATGGGTTTGCAAAATCATAATTAAAATAAAGTAAACGCATAAAGAGATAAACTTAAAATAAAAGCAGACGATTAAATTAGAAGTCAATATTTAGAACGACAGAGTTGTTGATTCTTTTTAGATTAGTTTTATTGTGGAATTTGAGTTTCCTTATATCCCGTTACGGGTTTTCTAGTTGTTTATGATGTTTTCACTATCCCGTTACGGGTATTGCATATTTCTTAATGTTTGTGTTTGTTAATAAAAGTTTTTATTTAAAAGAAAAACTGAATAGTTCTTGATATAGCTTATGATACGTTACAACTCTTATAGACTAGTCCAAATTTAAGATCTCGGTAAAAACGAGCGCCATTGTCAATAAAGTTAATTAACCCAACAATTACACTATGCTGAAAGGAACTTTTTTAGTTTTCTATTGATAGAATAATTGTGTTCTGAATTTTCGATTCCTTACTTAATGCTGGAAGTGACAGAATTGGAGAAGAGTAAGAGCTTTACCTTTTACAAATTGATACCTTTAATTTTCTTCCTTTTTTTTTACGTTTGGTAAAAATAATAATAGTAACACACATACACAATCATGTCTGTGAAAAACACAGCATTAAATGCTAGTAATTTTTTAATGGAAGAACTGGAAATGTAAATAGCAAGCCACAAATAAATGTTTATACTATGAAATACATCAAAATAAATTGATATCATGAGCGAAGTGTAAAAATAATCATTCATCAATAATCAATGAATCATCTTTAATGCAGTAAGCATTTCTCTTATTGAAATGCTTACTAGAATGCATTAAAGATGTGGACGAAGGGAAATAGCTGTTGAAGGGATTTGAAGACAGAAAATAAGATTTAATCCATATTATCAATATTTTTTGCTTAAGAAAATATTTTAAAATGCACTTATTAGTTCAATACACGATTCTCCTACTGAAGACTAGAATGCATCAGAGCTGCCAACTTCTACAGATTTTTCATAATATCTTAATTTTATATTGATAATAAAGTTTAAGTTTTTCTTTACAATTCTCGAATTTCTAATTATGATTTAAAACAATTCTGATACCCTTACACATAAATAATCCATTACGAAAATAAATAATAATCACATGATGGTATGTTTAACCCATGAGTGGTTCTACACATAAAAAGTAATTTTTTTATCCCTCCCCCCAAACGGCGGTGCATATGAAAAATCTAACTCTATTTTTTTCGCTGACACACCCGCCAAGCGAGAGTCAGAAAAAAGGTTGAACATTTCAAAGAAATAAAAATGAAAATGTCAAAACATCAAGAGGGTTAAGCTCTAGAGAAATACATTTCGCTATCACATAGGAAAATCGTCCTCAGAGAGGGTAAAATTATGGCATGATACACAAAAGATTTGGCAGATTCAGCACAAAAGACTAGCTGTTGGCTTACCTAGCAAACTTGTGCTGAGACAAGCTTAAGACTTTTCCTCTAACTACATTTACAATCTTGCTTTTATCTTCTTGACAGCCATGTTCAAGTACATGCTGGACAACGTAATTGCCGTATTGGTCCTGGACCAGCTGTTCAGTGTGTTGGTGCAACTCTTCTAAAACAGGTGATGTTTGCTCAGGAGTGCAATGCTCTAAAATGCGCTGAATTACTCGACAACCATATGGGTGTGTAGATAAAGTATAAACCTGTATAAATAATAAAAGAGAAAAATATTATTTAAGTACATTAAATTATTCCACATAAAGAAAAAGAAAAACAAATAATTGCACGCATACTTAGATATAAACAAAGCAAGGCCAACAGATAATAAAAAGCTTCTCTTGAAATCTTTAAAAAGGTCTATTTTCCTTTTAATTAAACAATATATAATTTAAAATTTAACAATAAATAACTCTGCTATAATATTAATTTTCATGATGATGAAGATAAAGTAATGATATTAACTAAATTTTTCAATGATCGAGATTTAAGGCAAATTTAACATATTTAAGAAAGAATCAAACAATGTCTTATAGAGTAACACAGAATTGGAGATGCAAAATATAACAGGTATAAAAGTCAATATTTGAAAAAATAAATTTTTTCTGCAAGCCACGCTATTTTTCAGTGTCACAGCAAACAATACCTTTGAAAAGGGTTTCATTCTTCAAAGTTATTATTTGTTAGAAAATAATTTACAACATTAATAACCCTTGCCTCTAAGAGACTTAAGTGAAATCCTAGTCCTTTCACTTTGCTTTGAGCTACTTTACAAAATATAGACATCAAATTGAACAGGTTAATTATATTAGTTCAATTTAAAAAATTATTGTTAATATATAAAATTATAGTTAGTCTATGTTAAGAATACCCCCTGCCACAAAGTCTGAGCCCACTTATTGCTATGGAAACAAGAATAGCGCATTTCAAGGGGGGTAGCTATGATCAAGGCTTATATGGGAAGTATTCCTGATTGGCTGACTCCAAGACCAATAGGAAACTTATTTAATCTGATTCTAGAATAACTTCATGATTCGCTTGTATTTCTTAACTTTAAATGATGGTCTTTACCTAATCGGTTGCTATTTTTTTTAATACAAAGAAGAAAATTTAACATATTCTAATATTAAGGGGGTTAAAGCAGGGGTTTGTTTTTGTGTTACTTTTTAATTTTGAGCTAGTTTCTCAATATTTGTGCTATTTATTATGAATTGCTCATTGATTTTTAGATGGGTTAATTTCTTAACTGATACAGTTTTTAAAGCAGTTAATTTCTTTTATTAGTTGAATTTTCTGGTAAAAGTGTAATGTTAAATCTTATTAACTCTAATTTTAAAAGGGGATAATAGTTTTGCTCAAGGTAGAGATAGTTCATGTTATCTATGCCGAATTTTTCAACGATTTAATCGATTCATTAGAATTTTTTTTAAACTCTTGGTTCATGTTGATGTTTTGTACTCCTATGTGTAGACGTTTTAGTTGAAATTTAGGTTAAATAACATATTTGGCTGAAATAATTGTTAACTATATATTTTTTTTTTCTTTCCTTAATAGATTTTTTTGGTAGGGGGGGGGGTCGTTTTAATTTTATATACTGTTTTTTTGTCATAATTATGTAAAATAAATAAGTAAAAAGTATTTTAATAAATAAATAAACTATTAATAAATAAAACAAAATAGATAATAAGTTGCAACGTGATCTATTTTTTATATCATTTATTTATTTTTTTTATAGCAAAAAGCAAAAGTTACTGCAACCAGGATGAAATCTAAAACTTTCAGCGTTCATTTTCTTAAAATGAAAACTCATTAAACCAATAATTTTTTTCTATCTGAGGTTTTCTTTTTCTTTTTTTTTAAATAAGTTTTTTTTAAATTTTAATGTAGCCTGTTTAGTTTTTTCACCCTTTATTATAAAAATAATTTTAACTATTTTTTATTAGCAAATTTATTTTTACTCCTTGCTTAAAAACCAATTTACAATGTATAGGATGAGTTATGTATTAATAAAATGTGTACATTGAATTACTTTAAACAATTTTATAAAACTCCCATATGGAGTAATTCACCTATTTATCAAACATTATTAATAGAAACAACAATTTCAACTAGTCATAATATTTGGACAAATAGCGATGAAAATCAGAAAAAACTGACACAAAAAAGCAGAAGTTCTTCAAGTCATTAACTTTAATAATTAATGAAAGGTTTCCTGAAATTTTAAAACTGCTAGTCATTAATGTTTCTTTTGTGAAAACGTGGTAGCATTTTTAAAACCACTTGAAGCAGGTGGAAAATCTCAAAGAGATTTCTATTCAAAAGGACTTAAAATGTATAAAAATAAATGACCATATTCCTTTAGAAGTTTGACATTTATGGATAGTACAATTGCCAGGCATGCTCTTTGAGATGGTTGATGGAGAGGTAATTTAAGGGCCCTTCTCTTAGCTTCATCAAGCAGAAAAATTTTAACTGTGCACAATTTTACATGCTTGAGATTTTAAAGCTTTACCTTTTTTAAACTTAAAAGGCATTTTCAAAAATTCAAAAAGTTAAAAGATGAAAAATAGAATACAAATTTACCACAAAAATTATTTTTTGAAAACTTTTCGAAATAAAAACTATTAAAAAAGTTAAAAGATTTTTTTTAAAAAAAAAACGCTCTTAACAATGTTTCATACGCGAATGCTCATTTTTCTTCACTCTAGGGCTATCTCAATAGACCGAGGAAAAAGATTCCCTTTTTCTCGCCGACCCTTGCCAAAACCTGTCCGAAACAGTTACATCACACCCCTACTTGAAATAGTCACACCTCATTACCATACACGGTACAGGCGAATGGCATGGGGAGTTCTTATTTTAGACTAAAAATACATTAGAAAGAAAAGGCTTTATCACTCATCTTAAATTTCAAATTAATTGCAAACAGTAAGCAAATAGTTACATACTTGTCCTTGAAAAGCGTTAATAATAAACTGTAAAGCTATAGGATCAACACATTCAATGCATTTTTGGACGACATGGTTGCCATTTTGATCTTTTACACACTTCAAAACATGTCCATCGAGTTCTTTGACAATCTCCTTCTGAAATTAACGGAAGAATTAGAAAATGATACAAGAAAGGACATTTTTTTTAATTTTCAATTTTCAAACCAACACACTCTTGATTAAGAAATCGAGGCCAGAGCCTCCAAATTACAATTACCCTTCTATTAATATTTTGAAACAGCATAAAATTTAAATTCATTGAAAAACATACAAATTTATTCAGAAAATATAACTTTTGTGACTGATTTCAGAAGTAAAATTTTTCATTTAATGTCACTTTAGAAAATATAACTTAGGTATTTATTTTAGCTTAAAGACAGTATTAAAGTCAAACCAGTTACATTAAAAAATGAGAATTTACAATTGTCTTTTCTTTTATTTGAACTATGTTAAATGCATTTATGTGTTTTATTTCCAGCTTAATCTAATTTCTTACTATTCTCCTTATGTTATTTCCAAGCCCCACATTCCAGTATTAAGAACAATACATGCAACAGATGGCCATGGCATTTAAAACATATTTGTAAATGTCATAGGAGTTTAGACTACTTATCCCTGAATGCAGATATTCAAAAATGATACTGACATCTAAAAACTTATCTTCTATTAATAGCTTCAGTTGGTTTGAATTTAAATTCTTGTGTGAAAGAGACTTAGGAAAGAAAAAATTAGCCTCTATTTATAATTTTATTTTAAATAGTTAACTGAACCAGAAGGCAAAATTTCCACTTACCATTAACAATCTAATATGTAAGGCTAACTAGTAAGTTTTATCTTTTAAAATATAGTAGAATTTCTCACCTGTGAAACCATTACTTAATGAAACATTGGAATTTTAAGAATACTTATTCGATATTCATTTTATCAATAAATATGTTTCAGTTTTTACATTTTTATGAGGCAACCCGAAACCCCATTTATCAAAAAGTATTTTATACAACATCTGTTAGTTTTAAAATTGTCAATATATTTCATGAATGCAAAATAGTGGTTAACAAAAATTTTTCTCTGGATATTATCTTTAAAACTGAAATTTCACACCTTGTACTAAAACCCAATCTGTTCTTTAATCTAAAATACAAATAATTTCACAATTATTTTTAATACTAGAAGTATTTTCTTAAAGAAATTTTGCAAAAATCGTAAAATTGGTAAATGTAGTTGATTTTTTTTTTACTAAAATGAATATTTTTTGTTTAAAAAAGATTATGTTTTAGAAATTAGATCACACTTAAGAACTTGGTGCAAAAAAAAAGAAAAAAAATAGTTAAACTGCCTAGATATTTTAAATAAAAAGCTTTATTTAACTATAAATGACTTATGCATAGGAAACTCCAAGAAACTAAAACTGAACAGATATTTAAATTCAAATTAAAATGCAAAATCACCTGCTGTTCAGGTGGTATAGACTCAAGAGCTTTTTGTATAACTCTACATCCATACATCTGCAATGCGAGAGGCAAAACATGACCTTTCACTTTTTGCGCCAGTGCCTGTTTTTGTTCTTGGGTGCCAAATTCAAAGAATTTCTGAATAACATAATTTCCAAAAACATCAGTCATCAAACTATAAGCTGCGCCTAAAATCTCTGTGAAAACCAGTTGCTTTTCACTCGGAGTAGCTCTTTCTAGCTTTTGCTGAATGAACCTATAATAAGAGAGAATATAAATCATTCAGGATTCCTGAAATATCAATATTTGTTACATATTCAATATACACAGTACCTTGAGCCATGTTGATCTTGTGAAAATTCAACTATGTGGTTTGATAAATCTCTTAATTGCAGATTAGGATAACGGTTATTTCTAAAGTCTTCTAACAGCCTACTGCGACCAGAAGGTTTTTCTAAACTAGAGCTAGAAAAGAAAGAAAGACATATATAATTAGCTATAGAAGAAATACTTACACTTACACAAATAAAAATTATATTTTTGAATAAGCAACTTCGTATTGTGGAGATTCTAGTTTTTCATAGAATAGCTTATATCGATAATGTTAAATTACCAAGGATTTTACAATGTCATTTTTAAGAAAATCCTGCTTCAAGCCTTTTTCTGGCAGATCACAATCATTGCTTCTCTACAAAATTCACAAACTCTTTCAGCATTCTTTCTTCTTCTCCATTTCTCACCAAAAAATTAAAGATGTCGCACATATAATGGCACATGACTCATTAATGTAAGCAATAAATTTTGAATATGTAAATAATTTTGATTTTTACTACCAGAAAAATAACAGGTAAAGTTGATAGCAGGTAAAAAATTTAAGTTTTTAGTATTTAAGGACTCACATTTTTTAGTTTGTCAAAAAGTTACCACCTAATTTATTTCTGCAAATATTCCCCTTCCAAAACCCATATTATTTTCTAGAAAAATATACAAAGTAATTTTATACAATATTTGAGATTTTTTTTTTAATTAAAGATGACAGCAAAAAAAAAAGTTTTGCACAATTACATTTTTTTAGTGTGTGAAACAATTAGAATCTATCATATCTTAGCTAGTATTTTTCTTCTAAAAGCTTTTATTTTCTGGTGTAAAATACCATTAAATTTTATATCACATGCCATTTTAAAAAAAATGGCAACCAAATTAGCACATTTTTTTCTCTCACACTAATACATCAAAAAGTAACCGCTTATTCATCTTATTAAACATTTTATGTCAAGGTTGTCTAGGTTGAAATATTGTTATCTCTACTACACATGAATTTAAATTTTTATATTTTCCAAGATTTTTTAACTTTTAGTATGTCAAAAAAATAATATAACGCACTAAAATTTCAATCCCAGTCATTAAAATAATTTCCGCAAAACATATATTTTTTGCCTATTTCGCCTACATTATTGGTAATTTATATTCTTAAAACCATAAAACCAATTAATTTCATTAAATTGTTAAAACAAAATCAGACTAAAGATTAGATTGCATAAAATTTTGTAGAAAAAGCAAAATTCACAAAATGCTCCAAAAATTACAAAAGTCAGCTTGATTTTAAATTTTATTTAATCAATGAAATTATCAAATTAGTAATAAAGCTAAAAGTGTTGCATTCTAAAAAACAGAGATTATTTTTAAATGAGACTTAATTTTACCTTCTCTGTAATGTTCTGTTCGGAAATAGTGTATTTGAAGAATTAAATACATTATTTCCTAAAGGCCCATTTCTAATCATATATTTGGCTTCAGCTCCTGGTGCTGCAGATAATATTCTGCCACCTAAAGTACCTGTAAAAAAAATGCAAAATTTAGGACTACATCAGTCATTAAAAAAAATAAAAATTGCAATAAAAATAAGTGCAAAATAAAGTAAAGAATCATGGTTAAAAATATAAAGAAAAAACAGTTACTAATCGTAGCATAGAAAAAGATATTAAATTCTAATTATCATAGATTAATAAATATTTTAAGATTTACTACAATAAGAATTGTAAAGATAATATATAGTGTGGAAAATTTAGTATTAGACTTTGCATCAACTTAAACTGAGGGAGTATAAAAATCATAAAATAATCATTTGCAAGCATGAACTATCAAAAAAACATGCTTTTATTATTTGCTATTTTTGAATAATGATGGAAAAATAGAGATTTCTATACCCAGTACCTTTTACTTAAGGGAGAAAGGAATAGAAACTATGTCACGGACGCCCAAACTATGGCCCTGAAATATTTAATGTGCAGCATCTCGCTAGGCAACAACAAATTATTTAAAAAATATAGATTTAAAAAATTTTATACTGTTTTTTATTCTTATTTCAATTAATTTTAATAAGAAACCAAAATACTAAAATTAAGAGGTTTTAGTTAAAAATTCTAAAAAATTAAGATATTTCAATAAGATTTTTTTAACCAAAACATATTTGAAACAAATGCAGTTTAAAAATTAAAAATGTAAACAATTTATATACAGTAAAAAAAAATACATACATAAAATAAATTTTTTTAAAGCATATGTGCATAAACAATTTCAGCTTACCTTCTACATAATTTGTACCAGATTTGTATAATTTTATTTTTTACAAAATATTGAGATAAACAATATTTTATTTTATAAATATTGTTTATACAACCAGAATGGCAATTATAAATTTAAACACAACTTTAAAATGTCTCTTATTTTAGCATTAATTATTTTAATAGTGGAAAATTGAATAATTTTTAAATTTATGTAATTTTTTTAAGTTCATATAAGTTTAATTTCCAAAAGATCAATCAATCCAGAAGATCAATTTATCAATTTCCAGAAGACAGAAACGAATGATCAAGAAAATTTTTGCAAAATAATGTACTAATAAATACTGATTTTACTAAATAAAGCACTAATAATGTTAACTAAAATAATGTACAATAACACCAACCAAGGTTTAAGTTTCCAAGTGAGCCGCCATTCAAGGATTGAGGAGGTGGTGTAAGACTTTGGCTTGGTGGCATCATGCCGATAGGACCAGGACCAGATGCAGTCACAGAACCAAGGGGACCATAAAATTGGTTGCCTTTCTGTTGAGTCATTTGTCTAGACAACTGACTTTCTAATCCACCAGAGAAACCAGATCCGGCCATAGTTCCAAGAGATGTACCATCCCTTCGGTCAAATGAGTCTCGTCTTGGTGAGCCAGCAGTTCCACCAATGCCTGAAAATTGTTAAAAATGCTGTTGAAGCTCCAAAACAATTGAATTATCAGAAACATACTCTAACATAGATGTGCTGTTAATTATACACTTGATGTAACCGCTCATCCGACAAGACACACAATTAATGGATATTTTTTTTTAATAAAAAAACAACTACTATGAGTCTTGAAAAAGACTATGCGAACTGAGTATTAAATTATGTGAACTAAAAAGAACAAATTCTTTAACCTGTAAATACCCAAAATAAATGGATAAAATGAATATTAAAAGTATGATAACAGTTAAATAATTACTAAGTTCAGAAATGAAGTTATAAGATAAAAAATATCAGTGAATGGTATCCTAAAATAAGTAAGTATACAAACAAAATGCCAATACTATCATCTTAAGTAGTCTATGTTAGCGATAACACACTTTTGAAAATAGCTTTCCTAGTTCACAGCTTCAGTAAACTGTATGCAAATGCTTCTTTTGGCACTGCTTGAAACAATTGTCGAATCTGTATTCAGTCCTTTAGACAGATATTCAGTTACCTGAATAATTGGCCAAATATTCAACTAAGTATTTTTTGACAAATTCTTTTGGGGGGAATTTGAATAGATTTTATAAAAAATCATTTAAAATTTTACTTTTTACAACACATTATTAGAAATAGTTTTTAAGCGTATTTGTTGTTAAGTTCAAAAACGTAATTTATGCTCAAAAAGACATAGAAAAGCGAAATTTGGATTACTTTATACTGAACCATAAGTTATGTACTGCTGATTTTTTTTATTATATTTAAGTGAGTCTTATTTCATAATTTTTTTTACTTCAAGAGACCTTTTTTTAGTTTGTTTCCTTCTGACTATTTTTCTATTCTAATGAAAGCACAGCATTACAATGGAGCATTTCTTATACTTTATTTTTTATTGTCAATTTTTTCCTGTAACAGTACAATAGACAACACATAACCTAGAAATGTGTGATTTTCAACATTAAAGTTACATCAGTACTGAGAACAATTTTTTTCTGTTTCTCTTACTTTTTTAATAACTTATCTTAATATAAGCTTTTCTAATTAATGTTATTCTTTGACGGTCACTTTTTTCTTTCAATGTGAAAAAGCTAATTAAAAATTAAGAACAATTTGTGTTTTGGTTTCTAACCAGCTTTTTCTTTTTTAAAAAAATGATTGTTTTATTATGACATGGATTGATGAGGGTTTCTATTAGACTTTATTCTTTACTTTTTAAAAAAAATAAAAATATCATAATAGGACACAGATGTTCAGCTTTAAAATTTTACTTCAAAAATTAAGATTCATTTTTTTTTATTTGCTTTTGTATATAATCTTTTTTATGAGTTGTTTAGCATTGTATTTTTTATAGAATCTCATTTTAAGGATAATTTTTTCTGGAAATTTTTTTTAGCATGAATAATAGCATATTTCTGGGAACATTTTAGTTTGTTTTAAGAATTAAGGATATTTTTTACTATTTAGCTTTTTCTTTTATTTAACTTTAGCCCTCTAGCTATTTTTTTTTAATAGTATTCTTTAATGGTTTTTTTATTTATCTTAAATATTTCTAATTATTTTAATATATAATTATCTGCATTATAGATTTTTTTTTTGTTTTTTTTTTGTTTAGAAAGCAACTGTACTACAAAAGAAAATATAATTCTTTCAGCTTCTGAAGCATTAATATTACTCATTTTTTACACAAAGATTTCCCTCTGTAAATTTTCATAAATATTTCATGCGTTCGTGTTATCATTTTGTCCAATTGAAAGCAAAATTTAACATGCTGCTTCATTGTGTTGAGGAACAACTTCCAACAAAGAATCAAAATTATAATTTGTAATGTCCTCCAAATTTGCCCATATAAAATCAATCACATTATTTTAATTGATCACTAATTTATTTACCATATAAAATGAAGAAATTTGAAGTACTAATTTGCACTTACTAGTTCCAATAGCACTAAGTGATGCTCCAATGGGTCCCATTGAATTTGATCCATATCCCATTGTGCTTTGAGGTTGAGCAGGACCTAGTCCTAATCCAGATCCGTAACCTAATTGACTACCGTTAGTTCCAGAGAAACCTAGCCCAGAGGTGGGATGATTAAAAGTCATATTTGAGTTAGCAGGAGAAGAATAAATTGTGTTACTATTAGGTGTGCCACTATTAAAAAGACTTGCTGCAGGATTCTGTTGAGCTTGAGAACCTAGTAAGCGTAAACCACCACTTCCCATAGTTCCTGAAATGTTAAAAAATACAATTATTACTGAAACCTCAGCAGAGAATAACTTTAAAACAATGTTAGAGATGTGATAACTCAAATCACCTGCGTGAATAGTAAAATACTAAATTATTAAAAGCTAAGATTAAGTAGGCAATCTGTAAATGAATGTCAATGTCATTAGTGAAAGTTAACTCGTCTTTTCATGCCCTAAGGTTGTTGACTGATGAAAAGTTAACTCTATTCAGAATTCTATTCTATAACAATTTATGAAACCCAAAGTGATATAGAATATTGCAAAAGCTTTGCACATAATTTAGAAAGTTTTACTTCACATCTATAACAAGACAGTTCAGTGTATAATTTCCAGTCAACAAAGTGTTAATAGCTTAAAATTTGCACTATTTATAATTTTTTTATCAAAATCATATATATTTGATTTAAACACATTCATATACAAACACCTGATATTCAAAAAAAAGAAAAAAAAATCATTATTGAGAACTTTTAAAGTTATCTACTTGAGTACTAAAATCGTAATCACAGGCATCATAGTATTAACATCTAAGTTTGTATTAGCAGAAAAATGTTCTGACCCTGGACAGAAAAAAGAAAAGATTCTTTTTTTAACAATCGCTTAAAAAAATATTCGTTGGTTAATTAATGGGGTACATAAACAATTTAAATCTCATATTTCAACACTGATTAAATATTATATTAATGATTCGTGTACATATCTATATTTTTTTTATATAAATTGTAAAAAAATATATCCTAATATTTTAGAGGCTTTTTTTTTAAAAAAATGCATAAGCATACATGCCAATTTTTAAGTTCTTTAAACAAGTGTTTTGCTAGTGGTAGTGAAATACCAATTGAAGTGACATTCTAAGCAGACGTTCAATTTACATTTGATCACCACTTAAAACACGATAAAATAACTGGAAGGCTTAATAAGGCTATTAAAATGTTTAAACTATTTTAATGTAAGGGTATTTAAAATCAATTTATATAATATTTGTTAAATAAAAATCAAGTATGAGTGTTGAAATTTTGCTACCACACTAAACATAAAAATTAAATCTTCACACAATGCAAGTATATTGGCAGGTATATATTAGAGATGTATAATACTAATAGATTAAATGCTACATCTAAATTTATAGATGTAAATGCTGTATATTTACCAGGAGTGCTGTTAGAAGCAGCAGCAGGATTCACAATGACAGGGGGCATTAACCTCATAGCAGTACCCATTCCTCGAGCATTTCCCATCATAACTGAGCCATTTTCATAGTAAGAAGGTGCAACCATTTGATATTGTCCACCTGTATGTGAAAATGTACAGTAGTCATTCATCTCAATAATATAATAAACCAATCATTTTTTTACAAATTGAATACAACCCTTAACAATAAAATAACTTTTGAATATTGAACTAATGCCTCCACTTGGATGATTAACTTTTGTTCATACAACTTATGAAACTTTATTGATATAAAATTAAACAAATAATCATAAGATTATATAATATTTCAATTATTTTTTAAAAAATTTGATTACCAGGTCCTTGCATACTCTGAGGCATTCCACCACCCCCTTGTGTCATGGTATCGGCACCTGGGCCTTGAGGAGTCATAGGCCTAGCACCGCCACCACGCATTAACTGTTGTTGAGTATTAGGAGTTTGACCTTGGCCACCCTGAACCATTCCAGCTGGAGTTGGGAACATACCCCAAGGAGGTACACCATAATACTGAGTCATCATTGGGCCTAAAACATAGAAGTGGGGATATTTTTATTTACGCAACAAAACATGTTAACTATTTCTCATGCATATAGTTCACAATAAGTAAAAAGCTAAATCTTTCTCACATCAGTTGTATTTTCTAACCAACATTGAAAACTATTTAAACCCTAATGAAAATTAATATTATATGCAAGTATGAATATCACTAACTGGTCATTGTAACAGTTTTAAATAAAACTTTAAAAAACAAAAGAAAAAAAAATCAATGATTTTGATCAATGAAAATTTTTTATACAAAAAAATTTCAATAGCCATGTGTTTCTCCTTTTTAACTTCTTGATAAAAAATACAAAATTTTTACAAATGCAGCAAGAATTTGTTAAATTTATTAAAAATTAGAGCTCAGATACTCTGAAAAATTGTGTTTTTACAGACTACTCTGAGTAGTCTTAAACACTTTGTTTTTTTTATAATAGAGTATAAAAATATTTCCTTTACATTTTTAATTAATAACTTAATTAATTAATAATGATAATAATAGTTTTTATTAATTGATAATTCATTAATTTTTCAATGGCATAAGATCACTTTCATAACAATACTTCAACAATTCCTCAAAATCGATTGTATTATTATTATGTTAACAAGAAATTCTTTTAGATTAGCGTACATGCTAGAATTCAATTTAGCAAGGATGGCAGGAGGTATCACAACGAACTTGATTTCTAAGAATCGAGTCACAGCCTTTCGGCTGTCAGACAACTTTTCAATTACCAAGTTTCAAATGTGTGTCAGAGAAAATTTGGAGAATTTATCTCCTCGAAGTTCTTATTACAAGTCTAAAAACATGGCAAAGGGAACATTGTTGGCTTTAACACCAAGTCAAATTGATGTTAGCTTACCAGGCATGATAGTCCCCATTGAAGCAGCAGCAGCATAAGGATCTTGATTCATAACATATGGGCTGGAAGCGAATGGTGCTGGAGATGCAGCTGGATTAGCTGCTTGCATCTGACCTTGCTGCTGCATTGGAAATTGCTGCTGGCCCATCACAGGCATGGGTTGACCTTGAGCTCTTGAATAAAGCTGAAAACATACTTTATTTAGAAACTTCAAAATTTCGCTCAGCTAATATTTCATTCATGCTTGAACTGGTTTTTCAAAAGGTTTTTCAGAAAATATTTCTCTAATTAAACCTTTAATCTCAATCTTATGTGGGTAAAATGCTTTTATGGTACAGATTTAGTACACCAGACTGATTCAGTAATTCCCTTTTACTGATAATAAACAAAACAAGTTGGGTTTGGATAAAACAGAGGTTCATTGATTCGAGACTTAAGATCCGACTTGTACCTTCATAAAATAATTATTACAGTTGCCTAAACCAGCAATCAATGTAAAGGAAAAGTTCCATTTTTACAAATTTTCAATTTTGTTAATGAGTCCAATAGGTTTTTACTGCCCATTGGTTTATATGATTGTTTTGGAAATATATGACAATACAGAATGTTTAAGGTTTTAAAAAATACATAGCAAACAGGATTTATAGGAGGACTTTGATCCCTGAACATAGTATAGATGGCATTTAAAATAGCAAAAGCACATTTTATAATTTATAGTCTACAAACTAATGCATAACATTTTTTAGACTAATGAAAAATAAATAGTGACAGACATTATATTTGTGTAATTATTTTCTCAACAAACTATTAATAAACAGTCATTATTTTGCTACCTGATGGAGAAGCACGGAGTAGAAATTATAATATACCATTATGAGAATTGATGTAAATCTATGTCCATAACTCTCCAGAGAAATGAGCCCAGTTCTTAAGAACAAAATCGTTGTGTGCAGTAATAATCTTTGAAAATATTGAAAGAAACAAAATATACACATACCTCCATAAAAAAATGCTGAGGGTCTTGACAAGAGAAATTAGAACCGAACTTTTCATCACCTCTGTTAAGAACCATCTTCCTAGATGTCATCTAGTTTAGAGAAGAAAATAGAAACGATTAGCTTAAACAAAAAATATATAAGTAGTTTAGCTTACAAATTTAAGACAGATCCATACTTGATTAGTGTAATCCATGTTAGGAGAATCCATGTTAGGCATAAAAGCTGAAGAATAATCAAATTGAAGTTGGTCCATGGACACTCCCTCAAAACCTTGATCTAGTCCACCCAATGAAGTGCCACCCGATTGCATATTAGCTCCAGAAGACTGGGGCATCATTTGTTCACTATGCTTTGGCATTTTTTCATTTAATATATGCTTCTTGCTACCAATGTCTTCACTTGGAGAAGACTGTCGACTGTTTGAATGGCTGTTAAAATAAGAGCCATCAGTGAAATTCAATTTAAAAAAATTATAATCTGCAGTTTCTTAAGTGGGTGTTAAGTATTTTGAAGCACTTTCTGTTTTTAATTCCTCTTTTTTCCAATAAAAAAAATAATAAAATAAGATATAAGATAAAACTTTATTAAAAGGTTTCACTTTTTTAAACAATCTAAATCACCCTTATTAATGAATCAGCAAACATTTTAAAAATAGCATTAATATTACATTATTTACTTCGGGCAAACGCATTATAAATATATTGATAAATTTTGTCAGTCATTCAGAAGAAAATTAATGTTTCAACTTTTCTTTTTAATGTGTTCTTCTACATCAAAAATTATTTACAAGTTTCAGGAAATTGAAATTATCAAGTTTCATATTCATTAAAGAGAACCTTTTAAATATTAAAAAATAGCAATACAGTGATTTACACAGATTGAGTAAGCTACATTTTTTATGAAATAGTTTTTATTAAATCAAAAATCTTGATTTTTTTCATGTTACATTATCATGAGTAGGAAATTTAGAATCCTGCATTTCAAGAATTACTATTTTACACACTGGATTATTGGGAATTAACCTGTAAACTAATATTGTTTTATCACATGTATTTTTGTTATTGCCGCGGATTTTTTTCAAAGTTTTCATTATCTTGACTTTTTAATACTACATTGTTTTGCGTGGGACATTTTAAGGCACGCATTTGAAAAATCACTTTTGCATGCCCTCAATTTCTGACGATTTTATTGGCTACATTGTCTTGTTGATCACATTTTTGACAGTTATTGCTTGGGAATTCTACATTTTTCAAAATTTTATTTAGTTTCCGATAATACGATAATGATCCCCGAATTTCGAAACACACTTTTAAATAATTACTTTATGACACCCTTTAGTAAAGACAATTTCATCTCAATCCGCAATTTTTCGAAATGCAAGAGTTTTGCACCTTCTTAAAACAGAGTGTGTGGTTTTTGGCGAAAGTAATCTTTTTACAAGAAAAGAGACAAAAAATATGAAATGTTTTTTGGGCTGTGGTCAAATTACGCCGTCATTTCAAAACTCTGGATTACTATTTTATATCCAAAATTTTATATCACATTATAACGGAAAAATTAAATGAAAACTGGAAGTCAGGTAAAAATTATAAAAAAAGCAGAAATTGGGGGAAAAGCAGAGAATTTTCATCTCTGAATTACATATAAAGAAAAATTTAAAAATTTTTGGATTATTTCAATGTACATGGCAGAAATTAAATTTTAAAATTAGAAAAGAGAACCAAAATCAGAAATGACAGTATAGTTATCTATTTCAAAGACACAATTTTAGTTTTTAACAACCTGAGCTTATAGACATTTAAGAAACAAAGATTCATTATTTTATACATACTGGTATCCACTGTCGTCACTCAAACCATTTTGAAGAATTCCATTAGATTGGTGAATTACACCACTTCCTTCTTGCTCTTTTCCTTTCAATTCTCCATCAAAAGATATAGATTTTAGCTTTTTTAGTTTTTCAGGATTATCGCTTGAATTCTAGAAGAAATTACAAATTAAGTACACATAAAGAAATATTTTAGATATGGATTAACTTATCTTTATAGATACAGAGGCAGGCAAGGTATAAAAAAAGAACAAGAAATACTAACAACCATTCTTCTGCACAAACTTATTTTATACATATCACACATACAACTTCATAATAAATATATCTATGATTAACAAAAAAAGATTTTTCAAAAGAAGGTGTGTCAAAATTTAAAAACCAATGGAAAGGTTAAATTTTTTAATATCATGCAAAATGTTTAAAATAGTCCCAAAGTTGCAAAAAATGAGAAAAAAAATTTTAAATTCCTAAAAATAGTTTACAGATCTCTCTCTTTCATAACTTCTGATGGCTTAGTCTTTGACCTCAGGACCACAAATATCAATGTGCGAAGTCAATGTATCTCTTACAATTTTAAGAATAGCAAACATACATCTAACGCAAAGAGTAAAAAAAGGAATAAATTAGCAAATATGCTAATAATACAAAAAAAAAAATTTCAGACTAAACAAAAATAGAATTTCAGTTTAAATCTAAATATAGAAAATATATTAATTATTTATTAATAATTACTGAAATCATAATATTAATTTGTTTTAATTTTTTGAGAAAAATTGTGACGAAAATGGAAAGTCACAAATGCCATTTTTGCACAGAAAATAAAACAATAATCTAATTGATCACCTTTTCAAATGATACTGTGTCATGGAACGACATTCTAAAACGTTTGTTACGATCAAACAGCATTAAAAAAATAAAACAATTCAGTCAAAAAACCAAGGCAGTAAAGGAAGAATGCTTTATATTGTTAAATACATAATATACTTTGAAATTAGTTTTAACATTAATTGATATAAATAAGTATAATAACTTTAAATCCTTTTATAACATATAAAGAAGTTATTGTTAATGAAACATAAAAACTGATATGACTAACTTTAATAATGAGTTGACAACTAATAGTTTGTAAATTTTATTATAATAATTGCACATGGAAATTGACAGCCTTCTTCAAGTTATATTCTGATATGTTAAAAAGTAAAATAAAATAGTATTAGAATCTAAAATTGCCTTTTATTCTGATAAAAAATAACTTGTTGCAAAAAGTCAAGTTAATTAATCTATTCTACAATAGACATCAAATTGATGAGATAATGAATAAAATAAAGAAAACAAAGCTTTGGAAATTAATATTACCATGCCAAGATGGTGCATTCTTGCCATTCGATTATCCAGATCTTTTGAGGTAGGAGAACTACCCAGAACATATTCAACCATTTTAACACCAAGTCCTCCAGTGTCTACAGAAAAATGCATATTTATTAAATACAAAAGAAAATTTAGTTTTCCTTAAATTAATAAAAAATTTTCTGATTTTCCAGACTAATACACTAGAATTTCCAGAACCATTTCTTTGTCAATTATTTTCTTTAAAAGAGAAAAAAAAACATTACAAAATAAAACTGAAGAATTTTAAAAAATGTTATGAATTCAAACACAATAATTATAGTATGAATACTAAAGTGATATTTGTGAAGCATTTAATTTCATTTTGTATATAAATGCTTTTTAATAAAGTTTTCCTAAAATTAGTTTATTAATAGTATCATTCATTTTTCTTAAAACATATAATGCAGAAATATTTCTTTTAAGGAAAACTTTATTTACACTTAAAACAATTTTGACAGTTTTTCCTTTACTTTTAAGGTATTTCATATCTTCCTAAAAAATAGCTAATCATCCTGGTTAAAACTTTATACTGATAAAAATGAAATGTGAAAAACATAAAAATTCTAAGGAATGACTTAACTAAAATCTTGCCAGCGTGATACCTCACATATAATAAATGTTTATTTAATTTTGCTACTTTCTTCTACAAGATGCAAGGATCAAATAATCTATTGCGTTACGAACCCACATAAAATAAAACATCTTAATATTCCTTTTTCCATTAAAACTTGATCACTAAGCAGAGTGCAAACCTTGAAGAAATTCATGACTGCATTATCCTTATCAATATTGATAAATATAACAATAATTAATATCCTTCTCAAATATAAAAACTAATAAAAATTAAACAGAAGTTTTCTTCAGTAACAGAAAGAGTAAAAAATTATTAGAAGCAATCTTATTTGTATTTTTTATCTAAAACATAGGACTACTATTTAGAAATAAAATTACAAAAAATTTTATACTTAAATATTAGTGTCATTTTGTTTATTGGCATATTTATTAACAGGGATGTAACGAACAGCAACATTATTTTTCATTAATATTTTTAATATATAAATAAATTTAGTCATTATAGAAAATTAATCAAAACTTAGATTATTGGTAAAGGGTAGTGACGAAAAAAAAAATAGTTACTCATTAGAAATAATTGTCAAGTTCAAAAAAAAGATTAAGAAAAATAGAAAGAAAAAAAAATTTCCTAATTCTAAAAACAAAGCCTTGTTGCTAAAAATATTTTCCGGAAAAAAAGTATCCATAAAACATTTAAAGAAATATAGTGCATCATCAACACTTTTAAGAATACTGCACAACTGTTAAAATGTTCAGAAAAACACAAGATTATATACAAAAGCCAAACATAAATAAAAATAGATCTTAAGAAGACACTATACTGCGGAAGAAACTTCATGTCTTCCAATAACTAATTTTTCAAGAAAAAGGGAAGAAAAAGTCTAAATGAAACCTTAATTGTCGTGTCATAACGAAAACAGAGGGGGAAATTTGAGCTTTTAATTTTAACCAGATTATTCATCAATAAATATAAAAACACTCAATTATACAATTTAATTACCTGATGCACTATTGTGTCCAGTACTCCAAGCAGCATCCCGCCATTGGTCACCAAATAAGATTCCTTTACTCTCATCTTGTTTTGTGTCTTCAACACCCCACAATTTTTTTGCAGCCGGTGAATACTGTAAACAAGGTTCTTGTTAATATAATCATATATACATATAGATCTACATAGCTATTAAAACCTTTATTTTGTTATATCTAGGAGATCATACAGATAATTCTTATAAAGCTTTCAATAAAAATAAAAATTCTTAAAAGAAATTACCTTTTACAGGTAATTAATTCTTCGGTGAAAGATTAAGATAAACCACAAGTTGGTTAACTGACAGTTTAAAAAGATGAATCTAAGACAAATTCTTCGTATTTCCAAACACATTTACTAAATTTGATAATTCTAAACCAACTTTAAATATCACTCAATAAATTCTTTAAATAAGTTCTTCAAATAACATTAGTACATGAACTTGGAAGAAAAATCATAAGTTACTTATAAGAACTTAAGAAAAATCATTAAGAAAAATAATCAACATTTGAGTAAAACATTTGGTGTACCATATCATGAATTATGTAATTGTAAAGTAAATTTTTTTCAAGCTTGTCTGCCATAAAGTTTTTGGACCACAAAATGAATAACTAAGTGATCCTATTGAACCACTAAATTTTCATTGCTCATGTGAACCCTACTTTTCACTAAAAGCAGATCGCTATTTAAAATATGAATTTCCAATTTCTTTACCCAAGTATAAATTTGCACATTCATAATTATTCTATTTATTTATAAATAAAACAAAGAATATCAAAACAAAAACAGGGTGCTTAGCCATATTTTTTAACAAAAAATAAGCCCTTTTTAAGCACTAAAAAAATATTTTTAAGCATTTAAAAAAATTTATTTTCTATGATCATAATAAAATAACTAGTTTTTGACAAAGAACATTTCTTGATTATATTAGCCATCATAAAAACAATTTTAAACATATTCAATATAGAGTGGCTCATTCTATTTCTTAAAATAATAATTACTTTACTTAATTATGCAAAAAAAAATTCAAAATTATAATTAATTTAAAGGTTGGTTTGAAATGAAAGTTATTTCTAAAAGCATACTCAACAAACAAGATTAATATTATTGACACAGATTAATATTATTGATAATACCGAATTCATAAAGACATGTAAAGAATTAAGCAAACTAAGAAAATTTTAATACATTCATATGTAAATTAGTGAATGGCCTCTCATTATTATTTATTAAAACTTGTTACTTGGTTCAGTATTTATTTAATGAAATGATTAAAAAAATTTAAATAATTTTGAAATGTAAATACAATGAGTATTGAAGCAACATTTTTGTCAGAAGTAAATTATTAATGGTCTCTACACTCCTAATATTTATCACACCTGAGGTAATTTAATTTTGAATATTAATTGTTTTTAAAATTAAATCAGGGTGCATAGACAAAGCTTTCAACAAAAAATAAGCACCTTTTAAGTAATTTTTTAAGAACTCAAAAAATATTTTTAAGCACTATATACATTAACAAAATGCAAAATAATTGTCAAAGACTATTTTAGATGATCATGATAAAATAACTAGTTTCTGACAAAGAACTCTTTTCTTGATTATATTAGCAGTTATAAAAAGGAGGTTGGATATCAGAGGCTGGAAAATGAAGTCTGAAATTGAGAATATCTTGCAAAATGCAGCAGAGTTGCACATGAGAAGGCAATAATCTCACTGAACCCAGGTCAGTAGAAGCACATATGGACTCGCAAGTATTTCATCAAACATGTAAAATGATTGGCGCTTTCATAAGCTATGGACCAACAGTACGACAAAATGAATTGTGAAAACGTTGAACAGAACAATGTGAAAAGCAAGCTTTTGCATAATACGAGTCAAAAATAGACATGGTAAGGAAAAAAAATCTCATTTTTGAAAAGGGAAAATGAAGCACCTTTTAAAAACATCCAATGGAAAAAGCACCTTTAAGGGCTTTTAAAAAATTGAAAATAAGCACCTTTAAAGAGATGAATTAAAGTTTCTTTGGAATGACAAATCTGAATAACATAAGATTTTTTGCAGCATTTAAAATAGCGAAGCCATTTACTTTTTCAAAATCTTGCCTCTAAATATTATTGATTTTTTACACAAAACAACTTAAAAGTATTGAAAATTTTAAAAGTAATAATGCAATAATATAGTATTAAGTGAAAAGATTTATCAAGTACAATTAAAGTTTTAAAAAATGTTTTACAAATAGAGGATGGTCCCTCAGGAAAAAAAATCATATGATTAAAAATATCAATTAATTTGTATCCTAATTAAATTAAATGAAAAAAAGGGAGATGGAAATTTTGCGGAAATGAAGCTTTGTGGTTCCTTACTGCTCTGGGAATCCACATGAAAATACAATGTAATAATGAATTATCCCCAAGTCAAGTTAAAGAATTAATGCACTAATCTATAAATAGAAGAGTGTGAAAAGAATATTAGCTTGCCAGTGACAAAGGCACTTTGCCAACGATGAAATTAACAAAAGAAATAAATTCTCTTTTCCTACTAAGGAAAATTAATTTTTGATAATTAGCTAGTCCCTGTGATCCGCAAAATTTCAAGNTTCTTTTTCATCCGTTATGAGTGAACAGTAGAGGTCTTTAATTAGGACTAATTTAGTAGGCACACCTATATCAAGGAAAAGCAATGATGTAATATGTTAATCAGAATTATTCTTAATTTTTTTCCTTGAGTTACTAATGACAAAGAGAAAGATTTTTTTAATACAAATATTCAAAGTTTGGTTACAATTTTTGATGCACTTTTTTTTTTTAATAGAGATTTACTATTTCTTGGAATCCATAATATTTTGCCTGCCCTTTACAATGTTTGATGTGAGATAATGTGTAATCGGAGTCACTATACAAAAATATTACCACTGCCAACAAAAAGTTTCTATAAGTTGAATTGAAATCAAGCAAAAATAAGATAAATAATGAAGAATGTACAATATTAAAAGGTTAAATTAAAATAAGCATATGACAGTTCTACAAAAACACAGAATTAAACGTAAAATTTAAAAGAAAAAAAAATCATTACTAAATCAATGGTTTGAAAATGAAAAATAAAATACTTTTAATCTCATTATTATTAAAAAATCATACTTCTAAAGAAGGATGTCCTGTCTCTAAAGCTAATGCTTGAAAGTCACTCTCCAATTCAGAGTTGTCACTGCCACGTACCTAAATAAACATTAAAAAGAAATAACATTATCTACACTGAATTACTAGAGATAATATAACAATAAATAAAATCAGATTAGTTCTGCAAAAGGTACGTGCTCTTCTTAAAAAGAAATTTTAAAACTTAATTAAATCCTCACATCCATGTCCATAAAAAAGCATTAATGAAGAAAAATAATATCTGCAGTCACACTTTTAACTAACAGTTTATTTGGAACCTTAATCAAAAAAATAAAATCCTATAAAAAGAGTAGAGGTTTCATGATTTGAGATAAAAATTTCCTCACACAATAAAATTATTAAGAAAATTTACTGTGGGTTTTATTTTATAAAAGTCAATACTAAGTTGTGCAATAAAGTCTATCAACCAATGTCACTGAAATACAATTCTTTAAATTATTAGGTAAGGTACATCCATTTTGAAGGAATTTTTAGAGTGTCAATTTCATGAATTTAATGAATTTTTATGCAAAAATAAATCATAGAATAGCAAATATAGGGAGAGAATTTCAAAAACCTTCAAACTTTAAAATTCTAAAATTATTGAGAAATTTCATAAAATTTCTAAAGCAGACAAATTATTATGCAAATAAAAAGACCTATTTTTATTTAATTAGATTTTTAAAACTAAAGTTTCATTTTAATTTCTTAATTTTATATCTTACAAGGATGGTTAGTTTTAATAACAAAAACTAGCCAAAACCTGCTTTTTTCAGCGAACATTACTACTCATTTAGAGGCAATAACTGGTAAAAACATGTAACAAAAAAACACAAATTCTTAGAAATAAAACTTAATTTTAAAACGAATATTTAAAAAAAAAAAGGTTACAAAAAAAGATATTAGGGAACACCTAAAAAATACCCCTTAAAATAAAGGGGAATAACTTGTAGCCGGACCAAACAAGTCCCTCAAATTTTAGACGGGCAATCCCCTGACTTCCTACCAAAAAATATTTAGATAAAAGCTACATAAACTGTTTTAGAGAAACTAATTTCAAGCAAACTTTGAAAGAAAAAAAATTATTTTTTTATAAATGAAAATATTGTTAAACATAATTTGATTAAAGGATCCCCAAATCATGCTAAAAAAATTTAAGGATGGTTTAAGAATGATAAGTATAAGTAGTTTACTTACATCAGTAAGTAAAAAATAAATAATTCAGTTTATAGTCCACAGAAAAATTTTGAAATCTACATTAATGTTATTAAAGTAAATTAATTTTTTTTTTTAACTGTGAGAAACTTCTTCAGTTGAATACAATTACATGCATATTTTTCGAACATATATAATTTGTGGTACTTAGTCACAGGTTTTAATTTTCAAATTCCTAGTTTTGTTTCAAATTGATAAAGATCTTATTGCACTAAATATTCTATCATCAATTAATAAATAAAAAAATTGTTTTGCAGTCCATAAACACTCAGTAATGTTTAAAACTCCTTGTGATTGAAATGGCATTTGAAATATTCGAAAGTAATACATTAAAAAGAGGCACATTATTTCATGGCAAAACTGTTGGTTTAAACTTAAACAAAATCCACAGAGGACAACATGCAAAGAACAAGATGAGGATTGATCATGAAACAAACTCATATCATACCCCTTCATTATAACTTCTCTTGTCTAATTGTTTATTCATCACCTCTTTGATCAAATTTTCTAAAACCCTTGGAAAAAAGAGAAGAAGAAAAATTTGACATCTCCCCCTAATTTGAATAGAAAGTTTTTCATCCCTTTTGGAATACATGCAACCTAAATGTTAACTTTTATTTCAACTCATAAAACTTATTGTTTATTTGATTAATGAATTTATAAACAAGTTTTTTGATTAATCAATTTATAAACAAGTTTTTAAAAAAATAAATAAAAAAAAAGCATAATTGTTTACATATTTTAATTTTTTATTTATTTATTTAGTAACTGGAGTGCGTTCACGGAAAAGATAGACCGAAAGTGAACAAATATGCTGCCAGAATCTTAATCAGGTTTGCCCCTTTTGGGATTTTCTCTGCATTTTTTTGTTTTCACGGAATTGTGCTAAAAAATAACGAGTTTAAAATCAATTCTTTCTACGTTTTCTTGTGAAATGTGATTTTTTTTTTCTTTCCTGGCGCTTATTTACAGGACTATAAGTTCAAACGTCTTCTTTTTCCCATCGTTGTTATGACTCAGATCGAACAAATAACAATAAAAGATAACAAATATTCGCCTTTTGTTTAGAGTCAAGCCAAACACGCGTTTGACACCGCCAAGTGACGTATTTTTTTTATTTACATCTAGTAAATCTTTCCACTGATCGGACTAAAGGAGCTTTTTATATTTGGCAACAAATTCAAATATATGAGCATCGTGCTTTTTTTATCTCTAAATTGACGTAATAGGGGTTATGTTTTCGGTCGCTTCTGAAGGAATAATAAATTGACGCAAATATCTTAGATAGCTGTGAATGCTATACAAGTCTGTTTTGAAACATTTAAAAATATGACACAATTTTATTCATTTTTTAAACATGTAACCGCCAAACCGAAGTTAATAGCTCAGCAGAAGATTAGATTAGTTAAAAGATTATGCGTGGTTAAAATCTTATCAGTTTATCATCGCTATTAATAATTTGAGGTAGCGAAAATAATTTAAAAGAAATAAAATTGTAAAAAACTGAGTTTTTTAAGGACTGAAAATGTAGAAATCTTATTTTTAAGACGCATAAAGCGCATTTCTTTCGAAAGAAAAGAAAAGGGGGAGAGAACTTAGGAAAGTGATGGCCTTACGTTACTTTCGCTTCTGGTACGACAATTATAGAATTATTACCTTCTTTTTCATCCATTCGAAAAACTTAATGACTAGAATTTTTATTTTATTTCATGTTTTTTCTTTCTTAATGTTTGTGTTATTTTGCATAAGTCGAAAAACGTCCAAATGTCTATTATTTTATGTTTTTTCTTTCTTAATGTTTGTGTTATTTTGTATAAGTCGAAAAATGTCCAAACTTTGATTCCGGGTAAAAGAAATAAATTTTGATTGAAATATAAAAGAAACAGTTATCATTTTGATTGACTGGTAATTTGCTTTTGTCAATAATATCTCGATAAATTATGCTTGCACAGAGCTCTAATAGATCTGAGTGATCTAGGTATAGTGATAATATCGCATATAAACCCAGGACACGATTACCAACAACAAAAAAAATCGAAAATTGGTCGACATTTCGTTTGAAAAATGTCAACGTCACAAACACAAAAGCGAGTTAACAAAAATGTGATTATAAAAGTTTAAACGCTAAATCATTTTTATTACTATTTGAAGAAAGAAAACGGCAGCATGTTGTGCTGATTATACTGATAACATTATTTGCTTCCTTTTTGTTCGAAAGAGGATTATATCACAGTCTTATCCTTCAAAAATTACTGGATGGAAAAACAAATACCACAACAGAAGTAAGCGGCGAGTAGAAAGTAGACTTCCCTAATTTCTCCTCACCAATTAGGACATTACTTTCACAAACGAGTAGCCGTGAAAGTGAAATACTTGATTCTGGTTTTAAGTGTTAGGCAAGATGCAAGCACGATTCCGCAGTACGCTTTGTGAAGCGGAACTTCCATCAGGAAAAATGATCGCTACATCCATCACACCTTGCGGCAAACAAAAAAAAATAAATAAATAAAAGTCTCCTTCCGGGAGAGACGAGAAGGAACTTGGAATTTGCAACTTTCCCTTTTGTTAACCATTATTTGCAAATTACTCTATTAGAGAAAACAATATGTTGAAGAAATAAATTACCAAAACAATTAAGTGATAAAACTAAATTTTTTTAAAAAAATGCTAAATATGCAGTTTAAAACAGTGTTAGCAAATTTTTGCTCATGTGTCACGTTAAAAACAAAGTCCAAAACGCATGTAAAAAAAAAAATAAAAAAAATAATCTTTCTGTAAATATTCTCTGACAAACAAGATTGATAAAGAAATATGGATTTACAACTTTCCCTCTTATTAACCATTATTTGCAAATTACGCTATAAGAGAAAATAATATGTTGAAGGAATAAATTATTGCGAAAGAAGTTAAACGACGAAACTAAATCAAATTAAAGCTAAATAATCAGTTTGAAGCAGGATTGCCTAGTTTATGACGGTTTATGACTAGTTTAGTTATGCTAGTTTATGACGGACTAGTTTATGACCCTAGATATAACTATCACGTCAAAAACTTACAAATAAATTTAATTTTTTTAATTATATGTTTCATACTTTAATTTACACATTACGCATAGTATTTCGGATAAATTGTTATGAATACTTTATGAAATTTAGTGTCAGAAAGAAAATAATGAGGAAAAAAACATTTTATTAAATAAAATAAGCTTAAAATATAGACTACTATTTACGAAAATGCTAATAAAAGATCTGCTGGAAGCATAAAATTTGCTTTAAATAAGACATTCTAATAACAGAAAATGAACTTAAAACATTCATCATTACAATAACATAAAGAAGACAAGGTAAGGTAATATAAAACTAAGTTTATAAGTGCAATAACTAGAAGTGTGCAGGTTATTTAGATTAAAAAGTTTTCTTATTTTATTATATTAAAATTAATATCTGTTAGGCAATTCCATTTATAAATTAATCCATTGTTAAAATTTGAATTTTATGCAATTGTTCGACTTTGAAATTTACTATAAAAAAAAAAGAATTGTGAATTATAACAAAAATATATACAATTTCTATTTTAATATGAAAACTAACAGCACTAAATTTTTGGTTCCACTGCATTTATTAATATACTTAAAGAAGCTTTCTTATAAAGCCTAAAAAGATCCTAAATAAAAGTACCTTTAATATAAATGTGAAGAAAAAAAAAATTTCTTCTGCTCAAAACTGTAATTTTTGATTTAATATAATGATTTTCTATTATAAATTGGTAAACAATCAAATCATACATTAATAAACATTTATATTTAACTAATGTACAAATACACTATAAAAAAATTTCACATAGGA